GTGTGTGTAACACGTCGCGTCCTATATACATGTTTATTATACATAGTAAAGTAAAAGGATAATGCAAAAAAGGAGGTGGGGCTCTGGGTAGCCGAAACTCCCCCGAATAGGAATAATAGTTATATATAAATGCATCGCAGTTGGAAATCGGTAGTGGTGATCCCGGCGATGAGGAGGAGTGCTTTTATACCCCAGGGAACAAAGATCGAAAGTTCAGTGAGGGTAGGGTGATTAAAGTTTGAACCAGGAACAGAGGTACTGCGCTACAGCAACGCAGTTGATCTTTAATCTATTTTAACAAAAACCATTAATCATTATTTGATATATTATGCGATAGTGCTTACGAAATAAACGAGATGATGCAGGAGATGAACGAACAAACAACCCTCAACAATATTAACGAAACGAAAGTGATGGTGATTCAAAGTGCCGAAACCGTAAAAACTCACCATAATTTCGTCAAAAATCTGATCTTGACGACAGAAAATGTGCGCATCATCCTGCTGAAAACGCCGTACTCGTGTAAGTCCAGTCAACGCACCGCTTAATTCATTGCTAAAAAGAAAGCACAGTTACAGCTAGAAACTCTTCATATAATTTAAAAGCAAATTACCCCCTCCCCCTCCAATATCTAAGTTAAAAATCTGATCTTGACAACAGAAAATGTGAATGGACCATTGCCCCTGTCCCTCAGTTACTAGCCTTTTCCTTTCGCCTACAGGGCCTTTATGGCCCATACTGCCATTTCCGCAAACATTTCCGGAACATACCGATGTAATACACCAAAATCGGCGTATCGCAGCGGGAGCTCATTATGAGTTCGTGGCATATGCGAATACATCAGACAGTGTCCGGGACAATTCATCGGCTTCAATCCAAATGTTTCTTTCTCAACATCAATTCTGAAGAAGAATATTCACTATTATCAGGCAGTCAAATCAAAAAAATAATGATAAGTAGCAGCCGTTAGAAGGCTAAGTTGTAGAAGTGGACAGCCCAAAATATGGGACGGCCTGAGCAGGACAAAAGGTGGGATAAAATTGACTAAACATTTGCGGCTCTTGGTAGGCCGAACCGTAATCTTCGAAAAAAACAGGCAATCCAAACCATGGAAAATATGGCACGGTCATAGTGTAACTCGCTCTTCTTACAAAATTATAAAACAAAGTATACGCTAAAAATATGATACTTTAAGGAGAAGGTTTCCCAACAAAAAAATAATTGGCCAACGCACCGACTGCCGGTGCGAAGATGCGGCAGTTTTTGTTGCTACCGCCACCGATTTTTCAAGCAAATGCTTCTAGCTAAAGGAATTGAGACTGGCCGCCAGGACTATCAGGAAGCATCCGTTTAAAA